CCAGCCCACCCCTGCCCACCCTTCATTTCACACACCCGCTAGCCACCACCACCGCTTTTCTCGTCGGAACACGCAGCCCAGCTTCCGCCTCCAGCTGCTCCCAGGCAGGAGGGCAAGGCCCACCTTGGTGCTGTTTGGACATGAGAGGGGTGACAAGAGAACGGAGAGCCCCCAAGACCGCATCACCGCCTCCCAGGTTCATGGGACATCAGCCAACGGCCTTTGCCGAGCTGTGAACTCTCTCGGGAGGGGGATGATGCTTGTGGTGGGAACCCAGGAGACACACAGGTATGAAGGTGGACAACCAGTCTCTGACCTGTTTCGACAAGGGTTTGGCACGGTCCCTGGCAGTGCCAGGGGTGCCCAGCATGGCATGTTGGTGTCCAGGGATGGGATGTTCCTTCAAGCCATGGCCCTGCTGCTTGCCTTCACTCTTCCATCACAAAGCAGCAGGAGATGGGCCTTGGAGCGGGGTGTCATGGGCTACCAGCAGTCCTGGACCTAAAAGCATCCCTCTGGGAGGCACCATCTGCCCAAGGAGAACAGGGCATCCCGAGTAGACCCTGGGGGTCTGACCTGGATCAGCCCACCCTGTGCCCCATGTCGACAAGGTGGATGTGCCCTGGGAACCGAGGGTCCCTTGCCACGCACCCGGCGGGCGGCAGGGTGAGCCCAGCCAGCGCTGGGAGTTGCAGAGCACCAGGCTGAGCATTCGCAACTCAAGACACTGATGGTGCCTGGGTCTGAGCTCAGGCAAGGTAGAAAATCCCTACGGAAACATCCCAGCTCACCATGCTTCAGTGAGACCCCAAGGGGTAGCAGCACCTTATCAACAGGATCTGGTTGGACCCTTACGAGCATCCTAAGTCCTACAGCCACATCTAGGGCTTACACACCCCTCTCCAGGAGCAACCCCAAGCCAGGGCAAGGAGCAGCAGATGCTGGCATCTAAGGACCTGAGTGAGGGGGGAGGCGGAGGGAAGGGAAGGCTGACGCCCCGGAAAGCAGACCAAAATCAGCCCCCTCCTGCCTTTTGATTCACAGGGGCTACCGGGAGTGAGGTGAGGGCACGGAGCTCCCTCCTGCCCGCCACCAAGACCCCAAAACAAAGCACTTAAGTGACAGAACAGCCACATCTTAGAATCACAGAACAAGTTTGGGCTGGAAGGGACCTTAAAGACCACCCAGTCTCACCCCCTGCCATGGGCAGGGACACCTTCCACTAGACCAGGTTGCTCCAAGCCTCATCCAGCCTGGCCTTGGGCACTTCCAGGGATGGGGCATCCACAGCTTCTCTGGACAGACCTCCCGCCTTCCGACCCATCTTCACCACATCTTTGCAGTAAGAGGCCTGATGCTGCTCTCAGCGACAACGTGAGATTCATCAGCAGGGCAGCACATCCCTTCTCCGCTCCCTCCATGCCAAAAACCCACTGTCACCACTGCCATCAGTGGCCACCCCACGAGGGGACCGCCACCTTCTTCCCAAGGCTTGTGGCAGTGGAAAAGGGACATGATCCCACCCAGGATGGATTTTCCTGGAAAGAAATCATCCACACTCTCACCATCCCAAGCCAGCACAGGAAGCAATGTCCCAGATAAGCCCTTCCCCACCGCATCGGGTTTCTCAGGACCCGGCAGCTTCAGGTTTACACTGCCAAACTCCCACGCCGTCACCCCTAGGAAAAGGGATGATTTTCTCTTTGGCAACCTCACCTTTTGGCCACCGAAGCTGCTGACTACAGTAAGATGCTTTAAACCAGCGACTCTAAGCCCACGGGCAAGAGAAGACATCCCAGTGCTGGCCACAAGCATGGGAAACTGGAAACCATGAAGCGATCCCAGCGGCAGCGATGCCGGCAGGCGGGAGCACGCGGGCACACGGATGATGGGAGCAGGTCCCCGGCGAGCCGGCCAGGAGGGGCAGCCAGGAGAGCCGGCAGGAGCTGGGATGTATTTAGCACCATAGGGAGAAGAGCCAGGAAGATTCAGCCAAGGCATTTCAAAGGCCACTCAGGGAAATTAATGGTTGCTAAGTTAAAGACAAACCAAAAGAGAGACGGCCGCAGGGCTCACCGCTGCGGGCTTGAACCTGGGTGCCAGCCAGGCAGGAATCGCGAGCAGCTCCCTGTGCTCAGGCAGAGGCCAGACCCCGTAAGTTTTCCTTCACGGCTTAATACAAGGGAGGACTTCATTCCGTGACTCCTGCAAAAGCCTTGTAATTCCCCTGCTTCCCACCCTCTGGCCGCACGCTCCAGCTGATACGCCGACCACGGTGCTTGGCCCCGAGCCACCGGCCTATCTGGGGTCTTTCTGCTTCGTTTTCCTGAAAGTTTCATTTTTCCTGAAAGCAATTAGCACAGGCTTAAGAGAAAAACAGCCTGTTAGTGGGGCGGCGCAGCCAGCTCCCCAGGCGCTAGGCACATTTGCCTAGATGAGAAGTGTGGGAACGGCACAGCGAGTCCGTCCGTCCGCCCCAGCGCGGTTAATCCTGCCGAGCATCCTGCGCTCCTCCTTACCGCGCCGGGCACCTACCGCCTCCTCCTCCCTCCTGAGGCTGCTAGTCCCACGTGGATAACACCCAAGTGGGAAAGAACCAACTTCTCCAAAGCCAGCAGTGCGGGAGCCCTGGCTGGAGGGCTCAGGACCACCTCTAATGGCTCACCTCGCCCCTGTATTTCCTTTCTGGCTCCAACATCTGGCTTGACAGCGCACATCTGTCAGAGCCCCAGCACAGGACTGAACCCGTGCTCCACCTTCGGCAAGCGCATGGCATATCAATTCCAAGGAAAACAGGGCAATTGCTGCCCTAAGCGGTGACCTAAGCATGAGGTTGCTGCAAAAACCAACTTTCCAAACTCCCCCCAAGCCTGGTTTGCTGAGGACCCGAGCCTGGGTTATCACATCTGGAGCTGGGTGAGAGCTGCAAGGCATCAACCCCATGGAAACAAGTCCCAGTAGCTCCAGCTGTGCCAGGTTTTCATAGGCCATGTGTAAGAAAACCCTTCCCAAGGGAGAGCAGGAACATCTGGCTAAACCAGGGGGAAATTTTATCCACACACTCCTGCCGAGCAAGGATCCTCCCAGCTCAGGGCTGGAGCCCACCTGACAGAGCTCTATCACTCCTTTGTTTCCTCTCTCGTTAGCTGTCTAATTACACAACCTTCCAGCCACCCAAAATGCAGAGTAGCACTCGCCTCCCTCCAAGCTCGGTAATGAAAGCCCGTCTCCCTCCAGCCTTCTCCTCCTCCTTCGTCTGGCTTCTCCTGGAGGATCATTAGGAAGCCGATAAAAATAGGTTTTCTTATTGATTTATCTCCTTTACTCAACGTTCTCTCTCCCCAGCACCATTGACTTGTTTCCTTAGCAACTCGGCCGATCCCAGCGCACGCCACACCTGCAGCTCCATGCTTCCCTCCCGGTGTGTCTGAGGTGGGGAAGGTGTCCCCAGGCCACGTGGATTTCCCCCCCAGACCCACGCCCCAAGCCCAGCCGGAGCAGGCACGGCAGGATAACCCCGTGCCATGAGCTGGAGCTCCTTGGTGAGTCTGGCAGGAGCTGGCAGGGAGCATCAGGGAGATGTCCAGCCACCAGTGGATCCTTGTTTCCAGCCGACACCTCCCTCCCCAGACAGGAGCTAAAACCAGTTTACCCAGCACATCTAGATTGCTAACACAGGGAGTGTGCCCAGCTCCAAGCCGTGAAGACGGATTTATGGTGCTGATGGCACACTGATGCAACCTCCCCAAGAGGCTGGGTGCAAAACAAATCCCTCTCCGGATGCGGGCAAAGGCCAGGAGCTGCGGAGAGCCCCTCACCATCTCTCCCCTTTGGGGACCATGCCTTCTCCCCACTCCTGGGCAGGCAGATGGGGAAGGAGCAAAAGGGAGAGAGGAGTGAGGCCATGTGGGCACCTCCAAAAGGGCTTTAGGGAAAGCCTACCTCAGAGGGCCAGCGAGAAGGGCAGGAGCGATTTAACCCCTCACCCTGCCTGCCCCACACAGACATGACTGGAAGAAGGACCCACCTCTTCAACATCCCCATCCCTAGGACACCCTGATCTGCCTTCTCTTGAGCTCCATACCCCAACAGGAAAGCAAGCACCTCCTCTCCTAGGCTGTTTTCCAAAAGAAACCCAAAATGACAAATGGAGCAAAGCCCACCAATGGTGCTAACACAATTTTGGGGTTCCCCAGCCCTACAGCACCTCCCTGGCTTGTTCCAAAAGACACAGGGGCTCTTCTCCCAGCAGATAAGACTATCCAGTGCCCTCAAGCAGCCGTAGAGCCATGGCCCCTCACGGCTGTCCCCATCCCTGTCACCCTCCCAGCCCACCGGTGCTTCGCTGGGGTTGACAGAAAGTGATGTCCAGAGGGACAAGGTGACGACAGATGCCCAAAATCCTCTCACCATGCTTCGAACAGCTCCCGCGTACCTGTTACACACAGCAAAACAGGCTCAGGAGAGCGAGTGTGGGCTTGGGATGGGCTTGCGTCTCCACACATCTCGCAGGGAGCATGCAGGCAAGGTGCTCGGCCTGCCTAAATCCCACTGCATGGATGTGCCTCAACCGGGGAGGCTCCGCTCGCTGTCTGCAGCCATAGGTGTTGCTGCTTAGGACCCCAGAATGTGGTGGTCTGGTCTCCATCAGGGGCTAAACCGAACGCAGCGCCAGCCAGGAGCTGCCTACACTGCTGCCAATCCATAGGGATGTGGGGTACCTGCCTGCCATGTCCAAGCAGCTCCGTGGAGAAATATCTCCTTCTCCCCCACCCCACCCTGTGCTTAAAAACTGGAAATCAAATCTCTCTCCTCTCCTCCTCTCTTTTTTTTAAAAAAAAAAAAAAACACATCATGTGATTTTCCTGCCTTAACATCAGTTTTTTAACTTTGGTTGCCACAGCAACAGGATGCAACTTGGCGTCACCATGACAACAGCTGCCTCTGTTTAAATCCACCATCTGACAGGCAGCCTCGCTCTCCCCGGCTGTCAAAAAAGATGGACCTGCCATTACACCTACTCGCCCCACCCCAAAAAAAAAAAAAAATCATTTTAAAATCTGATGAATGAAGGGCACAGAAAACAGCCTTGAAGAAGAGAAAAAAGGAGACGTTCTTGGGTAGCACGAG